ATCTCTGTATATATCCGTTAACACGACACAGAATTCCAAATTTACATATGAGTTATTACATGATAACAACCAATAGAATTACAAACTGTTTCATAAAATCGATTGTGTAATCAACTCAACTTAAGGTAGGTAGGAGGTATACACAAATGTATATTGTTATATTATAATGATCATATTCAATTGACATTGTGAATTGGTAAATACTACAAAAAACCTACATATTGCGATGTTAAATTTGAATTTCAAATCAATATATGCAAAATTCATTTCATAGATATTGATGATAAATACAAGTGAATAAAAGAACCATTGAGTAGTAATCCTTATGTACCTACTTACTCCTGTTACCCTTAATGAAGTATAGGCAGCCGATCAGTGAATTATTTAGCTGGTTTGCATTTTGTTGGCGAGTTAGATTACAACAGGATGAGGTCGCTATCCCAACGACTAATCCTGCTACTTTATCCTGGCTTGGGACCGGTAGTAACCCTAGAAGGGTTCCAGGCGGAGTTTAACAGTACAAACCTGATTTCTGTTAATATATATATATATATATATATATATATATATATATATGCATTACAGGGGTTGTGAAGATTGTTAAGTTACACATTTTTTGAAACCATGAATCGATCAATGTTAGACCACCATTAGAATTTGATCAAGTTAGACATTAACACCGTTAGGTTCCGGCTCAGTGGTCTAACGGTTAGGGCGTTAGCGCACAATACCGAATGGTCCTGGGTTCGAATCCTGCGGGGTGCAGGAGTCGTGGATGCGCACTGCTGAGGAGTCCCATACCAGGACTTGACGGCCGTCCAGTGCTTCCAGGTTTCTAATGGTGGTGGTCTAACATGGATCGATTCATGGTTTCAAATATATATATATATATATATAAGTGGTAAATTAACTCCTATATTCAATTTCAAATGATAACCAGTTATAGGGATGGCTCCTATAAGAGTGTCTTCAGAGATTCTCAAGAAGCTGGACAGTTTCCATTGAATCATACAACTCGACAGAATTTCTAGAATGTCAATGTGGCTTAAGGATGATAGTGTAACATTGTTATTTTGCTGAGTAGATGATTTGAATGATGTTTTCACACTATATGAAAATCTATGCATATACATAGGTTCTCCGTACACACACCAATACCTTGAAGTAAAGCGCTATTATCGTACTTCGCGCCTTTCCTCTTATGTTCAGGTTGAAGTGTAGATCTAATTGAGAGTTATCAGAGCAGAGGATAGGAAACCAAATGTTGCATTGCTTTACCAGACTTATCAGAAAAAAATATAAACTAACAACGAAACTTAATGTATTCAATTAGAAATGAATGGATTTTGCATACCTGATAACTAGAATTTACTACTTTCGAGTATCATTTAAACCTGAAATATTTTTGATAGTTCATTTTGATAAATTTAGATAAGTCACACAAATATTGTGATTCTTACTATTTAATCAAACAAATGTTAGAATCCACATGAATCTTCCAAAATAGTTTACAACATAGAGTGATTACTTAAACAACCATTGTTCACTGAATATGTACTTCATCCTAGTCTGTGATTAGTCAGCAATGAACAGATACAGGTACTGTCATAGACGATAAAAACAGGTATTTCAAGTTCGACCGTGAATTTATATTGTATGTAAACTTATTGTTTGACATCGATTGCAAGTCATATTTTCCAACATCGACCAGTATTTTTACACATTTGAAATCATCAATCAATCAATCGACCACCGTTGGATGCTGGCCGGCTCAGTGGTCCAGATGTTAGGCAGCGTTCCCGCACAAGACCAAAGGTCTCGGGTTCGATTCCTACAAGGTGCAGGATGAGTCGTGGATGCTCAGTACCACTGATGAGACGACCCATACGAGGACGAAATGGCCATCCAGTGATATTAAATGTATCAAAACACTAATCTCCATAAATCTAACTGAAAATATCAACCAGCAGACAATATAGTACAGTCATCATAGATTACCACCGATAATACTTATGCTCGACATAGATGAACTTCGCCGATCTCTCTCTCATACTCAGAGGTTTTCAATGATTATCTTCTTGAATTCATTTATGTAGTGTAAATTAATTTGTTTTTTTTTTATTTTCTAAATAATTTCTATTATTATCATATACAAACAAATATTTATTTTTGAGAAAAAATAATTCATATTATTTATTAATTGACTACTAAAATTACTTTTTTATTCTATATATATAAATATATATTTTTAAACTAAATTCATTCTGTAATATTAAACAGGTTATTTATTGTTTAATAATAAAAAAAAATCAGAGAAAACCTATGTATACTGTAATTATTGACACACTGATATCGTCGTAATATGTTTCAAAGTTCACACTGTAGTTCTTACCAGAAATAAACTTCAAATTAGAAATATATATAGATATATATAGTGTGTAGGAGTAGTCATTGAACTCCTTTAACATATAATAATGGGTGTTACGCTGAGAAATTGAAATAAACATGAGAATAATGAATAGTAATTGGATAGAAGTAGAAAGGAAGGCTCATCAGGACAGAGTAGGTTTGAGAATGCTAGTCGGCAGCCCATACTCCGTTAGAGGTAACAGGCGAGAGTAAGTAAGTAAAGTAAGTAAGTAAGTAAGTCAGTCAGTCAGATGCAACGTAGAACTTCGTACGTAAGTACATCAGTTCATGTTGCCATACCACAACATTAGCACAGAGATGTAATTGTCAATTCAAATCCAATAGTAGAAGAGGTAGTAAAGGTAGTAGCAGTAGTTGGAGAGGTTAAGATTGGTAGATATTATTCAAGAAGTATGATTCAGTGAGAAAAGTTTAGAAAGTCAAAACTAGAGGTGTTGAAGAATCCAGAAGATTAGGATTTGAGAGAACACCGAGAAAAAACGCACCGGTGGTATTGCAAACGGTTTTGAGCCATGTCATTCAGGGTATCTAACCATCGATTATTATCATCTCGTGGACCCCAACCAGGTAGTCGACAATTACCGACATGGCTCAGTCCACTTGTCAATGACTTCATGGATTTCTGCCATATTTTGGTTTGTCCGCGCCTAACTTTCTTCCAACCTATTCCTACACTACAAAACATAGCTCGTCGAGGCAGTCGGTGGTTAGGCATACGCAGCACATGTCCCAACTACCTCAACTGACGAAGTTTCATTACTTCATCCATTGATCTGCCATTCCTACCTGGCACACGTTTCGTAATAACAGCGTTGTTCACTCGGGTGTTCCACGATATACGTCGCTGTTATCATATAAACAAATTATGAAGTTCCAATATTGACTATAGAATTTTCAGACATATTATTAAAATCATTTGAAATCAATTAGTTCACAGTCTACTTATATCGCGTTATTCAATTAAAAATTATTTACTAAAAATATCTATACATGAATAAAGAAAGAGAAAAAGATTTTTTTGTGTTTTGAAATGGAATGTGATGATTAAACACTTCAATTTGGAAGTTGAAACAAGTGAACTTTGTTACAAAGAATAAATATTCATTCTTATATCAGTGGAGTTCAACCCTGTCGGGTATAGGCAGTAACTACCAACGACAAATGGGTGAGGTCGCGCAAAATCCCTAGATCAATCAGAGTTAGACATTAACACCGTTGGATGCCGGCCCAGAGGTCCGATGGTAAGGAGTTCGCCTACGATGCCAAAGGTCCCGGGTTCGAATCCTGCGAGGAGCAGGAGTCGTGGATGCTCACTGCTGATGAGTCCCATACCAGGACGAAACGGCCGTCCAGTGCTTCCAGGATTCTAATGGTGGTCTAACAATGATTGATTGATGATTTCAAATTTAAGGATTGCCTACTGTGATTCTATGTCTCAGCAGTCATCGATATTCTATCTAAATGATAAACATTGTCATTCAAGAAGGATCGACACCTGTTTCCATTCTCTCATCAAACATTGTATTATAATTATAAAAAAAAACTTCATGACTAAAATCACTTTTTACAGAATACATATGAGTCTGTGGTGCGCGCTACTTATAAGTAGTATATGACGCGAGTGAAAACGTAATGTCTGGCAGCAGAAGATGGGGGAAGATCAAGAAAGGAAGAGTGGGAACACAATGGAATTTGTATGAAACGCAATGAATACGTGAAATGTAAGACAATGGATTGATGATTGATTGAAGATTTGCAAATTAACCGTTTACGATATGGTTTTCCTATTTTACTGATTAACTCTGTAATTTTCGTTAAATACAATTCGGTTGCCCTCACCTGTGTTCTCCTTCACTACAAATCTACTATTACCCAAAACAATTAAAATAGCAGTAGTAGTCATTATCAACATAAAACTGATCATTCTTTTACGCAGATATAAAAGTGACATATATAACCATGAAATCATGAGTTAAATAAATGTTAAGCCACCATTAGGAACCTGAAAGTACTAGATAGCTGTTTCGTCCGAGTAAGGAACCATTCAAAATAGTATGCTTTCATGACTACTTGAGCACGGATCGAACCCATGAGCTTCAGTTTCGTGCACGTACACTTCACTTCTTAATCTTCTTAAGCTATAGCATCTAATGGTGCTAATGTCTGATTTGAATCAGTACACGATATTACACGACTTCATCGATTGCTTCACACCTGACAAGCTTGAACTCTACCGGTCATCGAGTCTCACTAGAACCAAGGAGGATCTCTTCACAAGGCTTGCGAACTCAGTGGTTAAAATGTTCAGTGTTCACACACGAGACTTAAGGTCCTTTGTGTTCTATTTCTCGATGCGAGTTCCATACTAGAATGACACAACTATCCATTGCTTCCATGTTTTTCTAATGGTAGTGTTACATTGTTTGATTCATGCATGAGCTCATATAATCTCAATCAAAATCATAAAGAATCAATCAAATATTGGAAATTGAAACTATGCCAGAGACAGTATAAAAATCAACAATGACAATATGTAATCAAATGTATTTATTTATTAAACAAACACTCACTTTTTAATTGGTTTTCTCATTTCCAATTCCATTCTTTCTTTTTTTTTATTTCTGTGTGTTATATGTGTGGGTATTGATTGATTTATGTGAGTGTATGGATATAATAGTAGTAGTTTACTGACTGAGAAACACTAATATATACACAGAGTGATGATGTATTTATTATTTGTTAACTTTCAATCAAATAAAAATCATGTCCATCATAGTAGTATTTATATCTAATTTAATGAATTATTTAATACATATATATATTGTTTAATTCCATTTGTCATTGGTTCTCTCGTTGTTTCACAACATCTGAGTAAAAGAGCTCTAAAATAAAGACAGAATAGAACAACTTGCTTGAGTTGTGTATGCATTAAACTTGTAAAAACAAAAACATACATACATAAAGATATGTATGTACATGGAAATGAATCCATGTCCAAAAAACATACATGATACTTAATAAAATACCATGTATATACTACATACACTTAGGTTAGATAGAGATTTAATATGATGAAACGAACAATCATTATTTATAATATAAGAAATTAGAGTATTGTCAACATAGGCATGAGTTTTATCAGAGTGTTAACTAGTGGTAATCTGATGCCGGAATTAACAATTACAAATATATATAGTGATAAGTGATGACATATACTCTTAACTAAATCATCAGAAAATAAGATTTTTCATTCAATACAATACACTCTAAAGGTAATATGAGAAGTTGTAAGCTTATCATCACTTATCATCACATAAATCTTCTTGTTGTTCAAGGAATTATTTGAATGAATTCACAGAAAAAAGAAAAGATTATTATTGTTGAAGGTTTCAATGCGGATTATTAAAAAAAGGAAAAAGGATATGAAGGATAAAACATGAAATGTAATACAATACAATACAATACAATACACATGACACAATAACTTTTGAAAGAAATCAACTGTAGGTGTAATTGTTACACTGGTCTCTAGGTATGCTTCAACTATGACGAGTTTACCTTAGTCTGTGGAATAACGACAATAAAACAATGAACCAGCGTCCAGGTAGACAGACAGACAGACACAACACAGAACTTCGTGCGTAAGTACATCAGTTCAGATTGTCATGCCGCATCAGCACACAGAGACGCACCTGTCAATTCAAATCCAACAGTGATAGCAATAATAGAAGTATCAGTAGTAATGGAGAAGAGGATTAGGAAGTGAAGATATGATTCGAGAAGTATAATTCAGTGAGATAAATTTAGAAGGAGAAAGGTAGAGAATATGAGGAATGCAGAAGCTTAGAATTTCATTGAACACAAAGAGTGGATGCACCTGCGCCATTGCAAACGATTCTGAGCCATGTCATTCGTGATCGCTAACCATTGGTGGCTTTCGACTCGTGGACTACAACCAGATAGCCTGCATCTACCAACATGACTCAGTCCACTTGTCAATGACTTCATGCATTTGTGCCATGTTTTGGTTTGGCCGCCCCTAACTTTACCCCAGCCTACTCCTACACTACAAAACATAGCTCGTTGAGGCAGTCAGTGGTTTGGCATTCGTAACACATGTCCTAACCACCTTGATTAGATGGAAATAGAAAAGAATGTCAAAGGCAGACTAGGTTGGAGAATGCTGGTCTGCTGCTTAGGCTCCTTCAGGAGTAACAGACATAAAAATTGCAATACTAAATGAAAATTAAAAATATATTACTTTGACCAAGTTTACGAATGTTTTCGCCTCTTCCTAAATAAAATACATACATACACTGTCTCATTCATCCTCATCCTACTATTCAATTAAACACAAACTTATCAACATTTAGACGTTAAAAATTATATAACCAAATAAAAATAATAAAACGCACTAAACAGAGATCAAAGATGATAGGATTGCTAAAAGTGCATTAACAGTCTACTCTAATACTGCTACTGTAGTGAAGGAGAATACAGGTGAGAGCAACCGAATTGTATTTAACAAAAATTACAGAGTTCATCAGTAAAATTGGAAAACCATATCGTAAATGGTTAATTTGCAAATCTTCAATCCATTGTCTGACATTTCTCCACTGTTCATGCGTTTCATACAAATTCCATTGTGTTCCCACTCTTCCTTTCTTGATCTTCCCTCATCTTCTGCTGCCAGACATTACGTTTTCACTCGCGTCATATACTACTTATAAGTAGCGAGCACCACACTACTACTTAAAATCAATCAATTACCTACTTATTTTCATTGTTCCGTTTAATATAACCTAATTGATGATAACAACATCAGTAAACAAAACAAATCTCTATGTATATTTGTCTAAATTGAACGAGTAAGTAAATCAAATAAATAAATGCAAGTACATCCGAAGAAAAACAGGAAAAAATACAAAGTATGAAAAAAAGGGAGCAATGATAAAAATGACAACGTGTTTAATATTCTTCTTTAAGTTAATAACATGTGTCTAATCATGTGAATTAACACAGCACTAGTTATTTATTAGTATAGAATAGTGAAACTTGTTGAAATTTAATGTAAATCATTAACTAAACCAGGTTACAAAACAAAAAAAACCCACAGGAAAGTGTGTATCCGGCATCGCTGCAACCAGGAATCGAACTCAAGACTATAAATTTCACATATGAAAGCTAAACCTTTCAGAAGAAAACTGAGCTAAGATATTATGGTGTAAGAAACAGTCTTCTGTTGTTTTCGGTAGATATCTTCCATGTGCTCAACATTGTTGAATTCTGCTGCAGAAATTCCCAACCGAATTTCATCATTAGTGAGCATATGATGAATGAGATCACAGATCGGCTATATTGGTTGACAGATTGATTGGTTTTATTTGAGTTTGTTTTCTTAGCATTCTAATGTAAATCCGATTATTTGAGAAAATTTATAAGATAAATAACTCACAAACCAATTTCACTTCCAGTGATGATGATGGTTGTATATATTTCAAGCCCATTTCTCGGATCCTGATATATATATATATATATATATATATATATATATATATGCATATATACATATAGTAACTGTGGTCATAAGGTGTGATGAAGGAACAGTGGATTCCTCGATCCTAAATACACTAATATATATATGTAGTGAAGGAGAACACAGGTGGGGCAACCGGATTGTATTTAACGAAAATTACAGAGTTACTCAGTAAAATAGGAAAACCATATCGTAAATCGTTTATTTGCAAAATATCAATGCATCATATCGAACTGGACTGTTCCTGTTGCAAAATATCAATCCATTGTCACTATTCATGTGTTTCATACAAATTCCATTGTGTTCTAACTCTTCCCTTCTTGATCTGCCCCCATCTTCTGCTGCCAGACATTACGTTGACACTCACGTCATATACTACTTATAAGTAGCTCGCACCACAATACTATCCATCATCTTTAAAATTTCTTAAAAATTCATTTAGAACACCTATCATTTACTTCCAAATCCCCCCACCTTATACATTAATTCTCGCTGACAAGGTAGCTTCCTATCTGTCATACAATGTGCAGTCCAACATTTAGTATATAAAACACAAATATAATGTACTTTGTTGTGAAATAACATGCACCAACCAAATCACTCTTGATGGAGATGCCCTGCGAGGACGTTAACACGTTTACATATCTGGGTACCATCATCAATAATCAAGGTGGATCCGATGCAGATGTGACGGCGCAGATTCGCAAAGCAAGGGTTGCATTTCTACAGTTGAAAAATATCTGGAACTCCAAACAACTTTCAACCAAAGCCAAAATCAGCATTTTCAATACAAATGTCAACACAGTTCCACTATATGGAGCGGAAACTTGGAGAACTACCAAAGCCATCATCCACAAGATACAAGTGTTTATTAACAGCTGTCTACGCAAAATACTCCGGACTCGTTGGCTAGATACCATCAGCAACAACGTACTGTGGGAGAGAACAAGTCAGATTCCAGTGGAGGAGGAAATCAGGAAGAAGCGGTGGAAGTGGATAGGACACACACTACGAAAAGCACCTAACTGCGTCACAAGACAAGTCCTCACATGGAACCCTCAAGGTAAAAGGAAAAGAGGAATTCCGAGGAACACATTACGCTGAGAAATAGAGAAAGATATGAGAAGGATGAACAAACATTGGACAGCACTTGAAAGGGAAGCCCAGGACAGAGTTGGTTGGAGGGAACTGGTCGGCTACCTATGCTCGATTGTGGGTAACAGGCGTAAGTAAGTAAGTAAGTTGTTGTGAAATAAAAAAAAGTATTCACCAGTTTCAATTAGAATTTACGAATTAAATCAAACATAGAAGATATAACATTGTGTTTACATTGTCGAGGATAAATGTATGACGACACATGAACGTAACTACACTGTGTGGCACAATTTGTTCAAACGACATAATCTTAAGTCTTCTCACATCAATTTTAATTAAATGTCAGTTTGGCCAATCAACTTGAAACAAAATTTGAACATTCAGTCATTCACAAAATACTTCAAGAAATTTGTTTATTCAATAAATTGATAGATTAATAGGGTTCATTGTTATTAACTTACAGCATTACATCGTTTATTTAGCGTGTATGTGCGTGTGCGTGTGTGAGACTTAATAGTTCACGAGGTATACTACCTGCATGTATCTTGAGTCAGAAACTTTGAGATAGTTACTTATAAATTGTATTGTGACTCTGATTTGTCATGTAACCCCTTATGTATAGTTGACCGATAAAACAATCAAGATATAAATTTACTTTTACACAACCAGTTTTATGAAACTAGTCACCTTATGTATTTCGTATAAATATCTATTCAACATCATTTGAATTATATTGTATCTGACAAGATAAAAGATCACTTTTCATTGTCAATGGCATTCTATAATAGTTATAATTGATTGTCTTGTAGTGAATGAGAACACACGTGGGGCAACCGAATTGTATTTAACGAAAATTACAGAGTTACTCAGTAAAATAGGAAAACCATATCGTAAATCATTAATTTGCAAAATATCAGTCCATCATATCGAACTGGACTGTTCCTGTTGCAAAACATCAATCCATGCGTTTCATACAAATTCCATTGTGTTCTAACTCTTCCTTTCTTGATCTTCCCCCATCTGCTATCAGACATTACATTGACACTCACGTCATATACTACTTATAAGTAGCTCGCACCACAGTCTTACTGATTATATGGTCTTACTGACATATTTTTACTGGCAGATGCACTTGAAATCAACAACGATGTGTGGTGAAAGTAAATATTTCAAGACATTTTTTGCAGTAAATAAAAAGAATCTAGTTAGAAAAAGAATCTGGTTAGCGTTTTTTAAGTGAGTTAGTTTTTTGTTGGGATGGAGTCGCCAACTCCGTGCCCAACCATCCTCCTTTATCCGGGCTTGAGACTGGCAGTAGCCCCGAAGGGTCTACAGGCGAAGTTACAAAATTTGGATTGATTTAGTCTAATGGAAGTTAGAGTAATGTATTTCTTCAACCTGTCAGATACTAGTAATTTTTTTGACAAATGACATCAAGATCTGACTAAATGAGGAAATGGTTTTTCACAGAACACGTCAGTGGTGCAGTTACAGTGTCAATAGAGATTTAACTTGAAATCTCCAGCAACTGTCATAAGTGCATTGTCTAACAACTGGAGTTTGAAAACGGTGCTCTTCACTTTCAACTCTAATCGGTTTGTGATAGGTGAAGAATTTCATTTATTAATATCTGTGAATTAATACTTCACTCTTAACCACAACCAATTAAATCCTATTTGGTTACAGCTTCTAACTAAAACTCGAAGAAGTGAATCCTGAATGAGAACATAGCTATTTCTGTTATATATTTCGGTGTTGGGTTTGTGAGGTTTATCTAACATTTTCGTTTGTTTTTCTATCTATCAGGTTAATATGACTGTTGCTGTATAATTTTCACTAGAAATTTAATTTTTCAACCCTAAACTTCCACACTATACTGTTGAAATGAAATTGTTAGTGAAAATAACAACACCCGAATGACTAACACTCATTTACTGAATAAGCTAGAAAATTAATGCTGCTACACTTATTGTGCAATTAGGGAAATTTTTAAATAAACTCAGCTCATGAAATTCTATTTACAAGAATATATTTTTTGTTGGTAGATATATCAGTGAAGTGGTGTTTCGGGGAACTGTATAAAATGTAGGTGGTTACAGGCAGGCTAAGTATCAGTCAGTCAACAACAACAACAACACAGATCTTCGTACGTATGTATATCAGTTCAAGTTGCCAAACCACATTATATCACAGATGTAAATGTCAATTTAAATCCTATAGTAGTATAGGTGGTAAAGGTATTAGCAGTAATCGGAGATTTTAGGGTTCGCAAATAATATTCAAGAAGTAGAATCTAATGAAATAAACTTAAAAAGAAAAAGATAAAGGCGATGAGGATTTTGGAAGATTAGGATTTGAGAGAACACAAAAAAAGAATGCATCTGCGCCATTGCAAACGGTTTTGAGCCATGTCATTCAAGGTCTCTAACCATCGATTAGTATCATCTTAAGGGATCCAACCAGGTTGTCTACACCTACCATCATGACTCAGTCCAGTTGTCATTGACTTCATGGATTTCTGCCATGTTTTGGTTTGGTTGCCCCTATCTTTCTTCCAACCTACTCCTACACTACAAAACATCGCTGTTCGAGGCAGTCGGTGGTCCCAGTTATCTCAACTGCTAAAGTTTCATTAACTTATCTATTGATCTGCTCGACCTAGTACTCGTTTCCCAAAGACAGCATTGCTTAATAGGTTGTCCCATGATACATGAGCAATGCTTCGGAGACACCTATGATCGAAAACCAGCGACCTACGAATATCATCTACTCTGACTGGCCATGTTTTGCAGGCATAAGTATCGTTGAAAAACAGTAAGCATCGAATATCTGTTTAGTCCTAACATGGAGTTGCTCAGTAGTACTCACTCACAGCCTTACCAAAGATGGCACCCTGAACCTTCATGGTATTGCGATGGACGCCTAATCATTAGAACCAGTGTTGTTGAAAAGTCCCTCACTAAACTGACGGAGTTATCTAGTACTTCCTAACTTCCAATAGTACCTTTGTTGTGAACGAGAACACAGGTGGGGCAACCGGATTGTATTTAACGAAAATTACAGAGTTACTCAGTAAAATTGGAAAACCATATCGTAAATCGTTAATTTGCAAAATATCAGTTCATCATATCAAACTGGACTGTTCCTGTTGCAAAACATCAATCCATTGTCACTATTCATGCGTTTCATACAAATTCCATTGTGTTCCCACTCTTCCTTTCTTGATCTTGCCCCATTACGTTGACACTCACGTCATATACTACTTATAAGTAGCTCGCACCACACCTTAATTGAAATCACTCGATTAAGAGAATACAATATACAAATATTTGTTTATATGCATAAAGTGTTACTATCGTTAACAATTGATGTGTATGCAGTCACAAATGTAGATCACGCACATTAATTGATTTCAAGTGAATTATGTTGTTTCATATACATGAGCAGCAGCAGCACAGCGACAATTTCAAGTGTTACCATTCACGTATACATACAGATTTTTAAATATTGACTGTAAATAACTAATCACATCTGACATGTGAATTAAATGTTGTAAAGGTATTAAAATTTATTTGTGTGTACGTACGCATTTAGATCAATGAAATATATGGGTGTTTATTCTACTACTACTACTACTACTACTACTACTACTACTACTACTACTACTACTACTACTACTACTACTACTACTACTACTACTACTACTACTACTACTACTACTACTACTACTACTACTACTACTACTACTACTACTACTACTACTACTACTACTACTACTACTACCCACACCTTAAAGTAGCCAGTCTCATAATGCATTGTGTTAGTGTGTGGATATATGTACAGAATGTAAATACGCATGTACGTATGTACGCACACAGTACGTATGTTTGTATTCAAAAAATAGTAACGCAAATAATAGTAGCGTTAGTAGGAGCAGGCTGTTGTGGTTTAATGAGTGTAATGCGTGTACGAACATTGTTCTCACATTATAAATGAATATATACTGCATTGTAAATAATGTCGTAAAAATATTAGGAATTGTTATATATATATATATATATATATATATATATATATATGTTGAAATCATCAGTTAATCATTGTTAGACCACTGCTAGAAGAAACCTGGAAGCACTGAAACACGGCCGTTTCGTGCTGGTATGGGACTTATCAGCAGCGCACGCACACGACTTCAGTTACTCGCAGGATCGGAACCCAGGGCCTCCGGCCTTAAGCGCCAACGCCTAACCTCTATACCACTGAGCCAGTATCCGACGGTGTTAATGTCTAACTCTGATTAATCTACGGATAGTGCGCCACCCCTCACCCACTTGTCTGCGGTAGTTACTGCCTGGTCACGTCTTCTTACTAGAAATCCAAGAATTTCCTCATGAAGCTAGTCACTAGTGAGCACATGGTACGATTTTTTCAATTAGAGTTATAGAGATCAGTGCTTTTACACATTAAAACCATCAGTCAATCAATCAATCAATGATTGTAAGACCAGCATTATAAACCTAGAAGCACTGAACGGCCGTTTCAGGTTCCCAATGAGCATCTAACAATGATTGATTGATGATTTCAACGCGTAAAAACACTGATCGCCATAACTCTAAATGAAACTACTGTGGTGCGTGCTACTTATAAGTAGTATATGACGCGAGTAAAAACGTAATGTCTGGCAGCAGAAGATGGGAGAAGATCAAGAAAGGAACAGTGAGAACACAATGGAATTTGTATGAAACGCATGAATGGTGAAATGTCAGACAATGGATTGTTGTTTTGCAACAGGAACAATCCAGTTTGATATGATGGACTGATATTTTGCAAATGAACGATTTACGATATGGTTTTCCTATTTTACTGAGTAACTCTGTAATTTTCGTTAAATACAATTCGGTTGCCCTCACCTGTGTTCTCCTACACTACACTACGTATAAATGTATGTACAGTTATAAATCAGCTCGATAATAATTTTTTATCAATTAGATAAAAAGAAAACTTTATGGTGTGATATAGAATGTAAGCCTCCTTTAATTTCATATCCTAATTATTATCATTCTAACAGTTCCCTGATGATTGAATCCTAGGGTTGAATCATTTATTTCCCATGAATTACCTCTGAATACACAAGGTGATCGACGATAGCCATATGTTTGGCACCGAAATCAACCATCCGTAAAAATCACTCACTTCCCTTCATAATTATTCAATTGTTGACATTCCAAACACACACACACACACACATTTATTTTGTCATTCATCTAAAACAATAATAGTTTGTCCAAAATAGTAGGACTGCGATTTAAATTTACAATAAAAAAAAAGTCATCAATCAATCAATCATTGTTAGACCAACATTAGAAACCTGGAGGCACTGAAACACGGCCGTTTCGTCCTGGAATGGGATTAATCAGCAGTGCGCATCCACGACTCATGCACCTCGCAGGATTCGGACCCGAGACCTTAGGTATTGTGCGCGAACGCCTAACCATCGGACCACTGGGCCGGCATCCAAGGGTGTTCATGTCTAACTCTGATTGATTGTAACAGTGCTCACTAGTGACTAGCTTCCTGAGGAAATTCTCGGAGTTCTAGTTGAGAAGATGTGACTAATAGAGTTCAACCCTGTCGGGTGTAGGCAGTAACTACCAAAGACAAATGGGTGAGGTCGCGCAAAAATCCGTAGATCAATCAGAGTTAGGCATTAACACAGGTGGATGCCGACCCAGAGGTTAGGCGTTCACGCACAATACCGAAGGTCCCGGGTTCGAATCCTGCGAGGTGCAGGAGTCGTGGATGCGCACTGCTGATGAATCCCATACCAGGACGAAACAGCCGTCCAGTGCTTCCAGGTTTCTAATGGTAGTCTAACAATGATTGATTGGTGATTTCAAATGTGTAAAATAAAGATTACTAAGTAAAATTTTGTTAGAACAGTGAGAAAAGACGTAGAGTTGATCTGAAAAAAAATGTTGTGATGTGTATTTGTGCTATACATATTTCGAACAATCTTGGTCAATGCTGATGAATCGCATACCAGGACGAAACGGCCGTCTTTCAGTGCTTCCAGGTTTCTAGCAGTGGTCTAACAATGATTGGTTGATTGATTGATGCTCTCAAATGTTGTTGTAAAAACACAAAACCTCCAAAAACTCTGCCCGAACATACTACTTACTTGTCAAGGCATTTTATTAATGAAGTAAACACCTCTCATGATTATAATTTTGGAAGTATGTCAATCAATGTACAACTTAAATTTCTTATTAAATTCGTGCTATTTTTTTTTATTTGGTTTCGTTTTATTAATAAAAATCAACCATGTAAAAATAAAAAATGCGAAATGTATGCCACTTCATGGAAAAAACATCAAACAACAAAAACACACACACACATCCGGCTTTGTAATCAAACTAGTGTGTGTGTGTGTGAGTGAGAGAGAGAGCGGGAGAGAGAGAATGAATTTAAATTGCATTTTAAGGACAACAAATCGATGTAGTTAGTAGTAGAGGTCAACCTTTGATGATGTGAATAATATATCATTGAATAATACTTGCTGTTCAAAATGATGTATTTCAAAATGAAAATTTATAAACTGAGCTGATAATGAATAAACTTGTTCAAATGAAGTCTTAATCAAAAAAAAAACAATTTTCATAGCCATCATGATGCAGACAGACAGACAGATACAACAAAGAACTTCGTACGTAAGTACATCAGTTCAGGTTGCCATACCACATCAGCACAGAGACGCAAATGTCAATTCAAATCCAAGAGTGATAGCAATAATAGAAGTATTAGCAGTAATGGAGAAGATTAAAGAGTGAAGATATGATTCGAGAAGTAGAATTCAGTAAGATAAATTTAGAAAGAGAAAGATAGAGATGATGAGGAATGCAGAAGCTTAGAATTTCATTGAACACATAGAGTGGATGCACCTGCGCCATTGCAAACGATTCTGAGCCATATCATTCATGATCTCTAAACATTGGTGACTTTCGTCTCGCGGACCACAACCAGATAGCCTACATCTACCAACATGACTCAGTTCACTTGTCAGTGACTTCATGCATTTCTGCCATGTTTTGGTTTGGCCGCCCCTAGCTTTCTTCCAATCTACTCCTACACCACAAAACATAGCTCGTCGCGGCAGACGGTGGTTAGGCATACGTAACACATGTCCCAACCACCTCAACTGATGAAGTTTCACTACTTCATCAATTGATTTGCCATCCCTACCTAGAACTCGTTTCCTAACGACAGCCATCATGATGCAGATTGTATCAATCTTGAATGATTAAAATAATATGCTATAAAGTCATTCATTACATGTACCTGTCAGATATTTTAAATGTTTAGGCTGTTCTAAAAAAAAGAGCTAATCCACTTCATCAAATATTCGAAATTTTTAATTCAAACTGTCTAAAATATGTTAAAATATGTTAGTTAACTAGACTGTTGGACTTTATTTTGTCAAACACAAGTTTATCAAAACGAGATTTGTTACAATTAGATACAGTGGTATTCATAGGGTGTTATTGCAATTCGCATGCTACAATCAATAGATCACAGATCAACTGACTAACATGTTTAACTGTAATAACTCATGCTGTGTTCACTGACACGTATCCTACTTGAAATCGACACATGAGTAAATGACACGAATTTAAACGCAATGAAGGAGGAATAATAATCACACACAAAGATGATTAGAAATTAGAACAATCTCGTATAACAATGATCAAGTGTGTTCGGAACGCTAGTAACTGTGGTCATAAGGTGTGATGAAGGAACAGTGGATTCCTCGATCCTAAATACACCGTTATATATATGTAGTGAAGGAGAACACAGGTGGGGCAACCGAATTGTATTTAACGAAAATTACAGAGTTACTCAGTAAAATCGGAAAACCATATCGTAAATTGTTCATTTGCAAAAGATCAGTTCATCATATCGAACTGGACTGTTCCTGTTGCAAAACATCAATCCATTGTCACTATTCATGCGTTTCATACAAATTCCATTGTGTTCTAACTCTTCCTTTCTTGATCTTCCCCCATCTTCTACTGCCAGACATTACGTTGACACTCACGTCATATACTACTTATAAGTAGCTCACACCATATATATATATATATATATACGCTCATGACTTTAACGGCAATAAAATGTAGAATCGAATGGCAAGATAAAATGGTCGATAATTGGGAAAATAATTTAATTATTTGTTTAATGAAGTGAATCTAATTAATATTGACCTATTGACCTTTGTTTGCTTCCAGAATTCAGTCTTTCTAACAGCATAATTAATCTGAAGCATTAAACAACTGATACACACACACACATTCTAGTGAACATGCAACATTATGAAAGTCAGCTAGGTTAGTTTTTCATAGTATCAAAAAAGTTTTTCACTGTATCAAACAATCCATCAGTCAAGCACCCTATTTAGCTGGTGATAGATCTTTAAAAATATCAAACATGTAACCACCTATAGGATCGTTTGAAAAAAACAGTAAAACTCGTCAGAAAAATGCATATAACCTGCTATCGGATAAAAAATTTGTACAACTTAAAATCGCATTGAATTTCAATGTGTCCGTATGTAGTGGTGATATACAACTAAATAAGACCATGAACAAACAAACATAATTTTTTACCATGTAGTAGTGTGGTGTGAGCTACTTATAAGTAGTATATGACGTGAGTGTCAACGTAATGTCTGGCAGCAGAAGATGGGGAAGATCAAGAAAGGAAGAGTGGGAACACAATGGAATTTGTATGAAACGCATGAATAGT